TTTTGCTTTTTTTTTAAATAAATAATGCACCCGTGTAATGAGCTAAATTTATATTTAGTTAGTCCCTTTATTTGTGTAAATAAGTCAAGCCCAATGCAATACATAATATAAAAAAGGGCAATTTACACGCATCCTCTATGATTTACAAATAATTACAAACCTACGATTAAGAGTAAATAATTAGCAAGCCAACGAAATCAATGCTAATTGTTTGTCTTTACACGGTTTTATTTGTTACCTAAACTAAACGGATTCTGTTCCGTTTTATATGGAATTCCTTATCAGAAAAAAAATAAAAAAAAAAATGGCAGGCCTATAATGTGTTCCTACATTCACGTGTAACTAAAAAAGATAAGGTAAGAGTATAAGTCCTAATTAATTGGACTTTCTTCACATTGTGCTGCTGCGAAAATCTTGCAAATTCAAACGTCATATTACTCCCAATATACAAAAAAAATTATATAACATATACAGAAAAACGATCTAACATATACACAATATATAGAACTTGAAGCAGGTATATTTATTTTTCGAGGAAATATCTGTTTCAGGTTTTTAGTGTATATGTAATGTATATTTTACGATTTTGTAATCGTTTCAGGTTCTTTTTTGTTCGTTTTATATGACACAGAGTACAAAAAACAGATCACATATACATTAAATATACTGAACATATACACCTTAATTTTTTTTTTTATAATAAACAGCTTCCAAACTATTAAATTCAATTCAGTTATATACATATGATATACTTAACATATAAGAAGTAAATTTGTTTATATTTGATTAGACGTGTGTTGAATTACAATAGAAAGAATATAACATATCAGTGTTAGTCAAGAACATATACAGAACATATATTCATTGCAGAAGATATACAAACCATCATGAAGAAAATACAGTTGCTCACATATTCATTACATATCCATAACATATATAACCTGCTTTTGTTCAGCAGAACATATGCATCTTTACAACATGTTAATATTGGGATAACAACATATAACTCCACTAAAATGGGTAAAAGAAATATGGGACAAGCATTTCCATGGGATTTCGTCACATTTCCACTCGGCTTGGCCCTTTTCTTCTCGGGATATTCTTCGAAAATTCTGAAATCGAAAGGACTCGACTACTCGGTCTCACTTTCTCTCGGCGCTGTTCGGGTCACGGCAAGAGCTGCTTCTCGGTCTGCTTGTGTGTGAGACGAACAGGGACAAAAGATGTTGGTGCTCTCCTCGATTCCTCCTCACAGGTTGAACACGTTCGCCGCTCGGCTTCTCCTTCTCGGTAGGCGATGGCTCTCCTCGGCAATGGCACAGGGACCGACGAGTTGCGGCTCGTTGAAGGCGATGGATGAAAAGACGACTTGTTGCTCGATTACACGGCCTATTGCTCGTCGATGGCGCACGGCGTGGCTCTCCGAACAGAGAAAAAGAACACCCAGTGATAGGATTTTTTAAGGCAGGATTAAACGTGGATCTCACCCTGAGGTCAGCTCGATCGAACGGTGATGGAACGGTCTGCTGCTGCTCGCACAGTTGGTGAGTTGTGGGAGAGAGATGAGGGCGAGATTTTTCTTACCAAATACCTCGGGATTTTTGTTTTTGGAAGGTGTAAGTACCTATAATTACGGTTAATATTAATCTTGTTTAAATTAATGATTTATTTATATTTTGGTACTTCTGCAATTAAATTGTAAGATTTTGTATTTTTGTTACTACGTGTAGATGGGTTTCATTTATGCAATAAAAAATGAGATTAGTTGTATAGGGCGCAATTTTCTCTATAAAAAATAAAAAAAAATTGAGGCCCCAAATAAATGGAGACCCTAGGCAATAGACATGGGCCTAGCTTGCCTCCACTTGGAACCGGTCCTGAGTGCTTTATTCAGTTGTTGGGTTGTCTTCTACTTATAATTATGAGTTTNAAAAACTTTATACAATAAACTTAAAAAATGACATAGTTTAGGTGTTTAAAAAGAATCCCTTCAAATTATGGATATTTTAGTTAACTGTTCCACCTAGAAAACCAAAAGGTCCGACTAAGAAAGTGATACTAAGAGCATCTCCAATGGCATGTGGATTGCCTCATTTTGTTGCCACATGGCACAATAAAACCTACGTGGCCTAAAAAAATTCTAGAAGTCTTTCTAGATGTAGAAGTACTTCTAGACAACTTCTACTACATATTATATTTTTTATTCAATTTATTTCTTCTTTTCAACCAATTAGAAATTTACACATGTCAAATTAAACCATCTTTAACATTAACCATTGAAGACACAATTTCTTAATCTCCTTCCTTCATGCAATGCAATTCAAAATGGACAAGATACCATTGGAGATGCCCTAATCTTTCATTTATCAACAAGGTTGTCTATAACCAAGGTAAAATTACAAACCGATTGGGTATAAGATTCTATAAATAATGTCCTGTATAAATAAATGAGATGAAAAAGTTTTTTTTTTAAAAAAAAAAAATGTTTTAGGAAAAGTGATATTTGAGATAGATAATGTAATATAAAAATAATAAAATATCAATGGATAAGAATGCTGGTTAGAAATTGAATGAGATGGAGAAGGTAAAAAAAATGTTTTTGAGAAAAGAGATATAAATTTGAGATAGATAAAAATGTAATAAATAAAGTTTGATATAATATAAAATTAATAAACTATTAGTTGATAAGATGTTAGTTAGGAATTAATTTATCAGGGTTGGTCCACGATGTGGGGGAGCTCTGTTTTCCGGTCCGGTGGGAGGACTTTATTTATTTATTTATTTATTTTGTTATTTTGTTGTTGTGTTTGTTTAGTACGGTAAGTGTGTGTTTGTGTTTTGTTCTCCTTCTTAAGTGTGTGTATTCTTCCGTAAGGAAGTTTGTACTCTCCCCTCGGTGAGTGTGTATTCTCCATTAGTGGAGTTTTTAGTTATTTTGTGGTTTTGTAGTGTGTTGTGATTTATGCTACCTTTGGTAGACCTTCCTCCTTCGTCTAATTAGTCGGTTGTAGTTACGNNNTTATTCTGAATATTATATATATATATATATATATATGTATATATATATATCTATACTTATATAATAAGAATTAACATTTATCTAAAATAGTAGGTCAAATTATGGTCAATATCGGATTTGCATTAAATATTTTCCAAAACTGGTAAGTTTTTGTCCTTTTCACACTTCTCATTAATTATGTCATTTTCACACTTCTCATTAATTATGTCCTTTTCACACTTCTCATTAATTCATTAATTACGACATAATTATCATAAATCATTCCATCTGAGCTCTTACCGTTAAAATGTATAGAGCATGTTTGGATACAAAATTTTTCAAAAAAAACCAAACATTTTTAACTCAACCATTTTTTTTAACTCAACCCTACTATCATCAATATTATCAATATAATTAAATAATATCAATCAATCATTCTTACACACCACCTTACCTTAATTCACTATTCATCCACTCACATAATTTTAACTAACCATCACTTCAAATTTTCTCTCACCTAGTTTACATCAAAATCAACTTTAATCATTTTATTTTAAATATTATTTAATATACCCACTAACAACTAACCATACCAACTTTTTCAAAATTAACCAAAACAAACAAAAAAATCCAAACAAAACCAAAAATTTTTATATCCAATCATCCTCATAGCGATCTGTTATGACCTTATCCCATTGGTATTTTCATGAAGCGTCTTTATCGCGTTCTATTTTTTGGTAACCACTCTATATCAATAGCCTAATATTTGGTTAATGATAGCACACGTCTTTATTTCAAGGAGCGAATATTCTTTAACCTTTAATTAATCTGAACTGATTGTCTTGACTTTTTAATTTTTAAAAACTCTTTTTTAAATATTTCGGCTTAAGATTCGGATTTCATTATACAAGTCATCGGATTGTTTGAATGAAAATGAATGAAAAGAACACCAAAAACATGTAGCCTTATTCATATAACCAATCCTAAAATATTAGTTTGTTCACCAAAAATATTAGTTTGATTTTTAGGATTTGTCTCTTTTGAAAATATTAGTTTGTGATAATGAGGAGTTACCAAATAATCCAACTCATAATGTTGTGTACAAGGAGGTTTTTAATAATATATGATTGTTGCCGAACTTTTTATGATTCAACAATGTTCCTATGCATTTTAATGATTTCAATTTCGATCCTAATGCAGGTGAGGTTATATTATTCTTCCAAATTTTACACCTTCGATCCTAATGCAGGTGAGGTTATATTATTCTTCCAAATTTTACATCTCGTGCATCCCACGTGCATCGCACGGGTTCGTACTANTTTCAAAAACCCACTTATATACTCACTTGGCCTCTCCCCACCCACCAACCTTTCACTCTTTCTTACACACACACACACACACACACACACAAAGTCGCACACATATCGACCGCGACGTCCAAAGCCACCAGCCCGTCACCCACCGCTGGCCCCACCGCCGCTGCCACAGCCTTCCACTCTACTTCACACACAAACACACACACTCTCAATTCATACACACACGAACACACACTCTCTCACTTCATATACACACACACACACACATAGAACACATGCACAGACACAAACACACACTCAACTCCATCGACTGATGCCGCCGACCACCGCTAGTTCCTGTCATGCCCATTGTCGACGCCTTCATCCCTTTAACACGACCTCCTCCTTCATACTTTTAGCCACGGCAGATGTCCATCAGGTGTTGTGGTTCTTGTCTGAATTTAAGCTTGATTTGGTTAATTCGGGCCCTCGGGAAGCTTTGAAGAACGAGTTTCTCACCAAGCGGCGACGGAGATGGCTAGGGCCTGAGAGACGATCGGGAGATTTGTTGTTTTATAATTGGGAGTTTCTTTTTGTAAATTTGATAAGTCTTAAAAACTTAATTGCAATTTTAAAAATTTTAATATATTACAATTTAGTTCATAGGTCAAATTTGTAACTTATCAAAAAACTAATAAATGCACGTAATAATAAATAAAGTGCACAATATCGTATGTGCATATGCACATTAAAATTTAACAAATTTACCAAAATGTCGACGAGCTACAGAATGCACAACATTGTTCATTGCCCAATTCGACCGAACTGACCCGCTGAAATGTAAATGCTAAAATATTCGAGTCGAATTTTTGAAAAAACTTAACCGAACGAATTTTTATCCCAAAACAAACTAAAACTAAAACGAAATAAGTAGTTTATTCAGTCAGATAACCGATGTAAACAAAACAATAGAAACAATTTATATTCTAAGAATATTTTAAATATTTTAATATTTTATTTTTAATTGAAAAAGACATAAAAAAAAAAAAAAAAAGTTATCTTCTCTGTAATTCGGTCGATTTGGTTTTTTGGGTTACTTTTATAAATTAAAGTCGGCAATGAATTAAAGTAATCAAAATCTTAAAAGTAAAAACAGATAAATGAACCGATATATAAAGATTCAAACCAAAAATTTTAGATTGGTCGATTTCGATTGCTATTATTTAGCCTGACAGACATTAACATGCAATTCGACTATCACTATTGTGCACGATTCCGGTCGCTTCTAAACCAGCTGAACTTTTGTTCCAAACCAAATTAAAACCAAATCTAATTATTTGGTGTATTCGTTCGCTTGATTGAATTAACCAAAAACATATATAATACTTTAATTTTTATATTTAATATTTTATCTCTTGTTTTTGGTTGAAAAGAATAACATTTTTAATAAAATATATAAAAAATATTTTTTATGTAGTTCAGTCTGTTCGCTATTTCAATTATTTTTTAGAAGTAAAGCCGAAACTGAAATAATCAAAATTTTAAAGGAAACACAGATACTCAAATGAAAAATTTTAGTTCTGCTGGTTTTGGTCTGGCAGTCAATAATGTGCAATTCTTCTAACGCTATTGTGCACTCATAGTGCAGTCATTTTTAATAGTTTATCCCAAATCAAACTAAAATTGAACCTAAATAATCGGGTTATTTGATTGGTTAATCTAAATAACACAAACAATCGAAATTAATTATTTTATACTACATAAACATTTAGTATTTTACTATTTTTATTTAATACTTTAAATTATTTTTGGTTGAAAAGACCTAATATATATATATATATAAAGTAAGAAAATAATTATATTTTATATATAATTTGGTCAGCTCGGTTGTTTTGAACAATAAGTCGATATCTTACTAAGATAACCAAAATTTTATAAGTAAAAATGGATATTCGAAACGACATATAGACCATATTATAGTTCAGTCGGTTTCAGTCGCTATTGTGCAGTAATTAATGTGTATTTCATCTAACACTTGGGCACTCGCGGTGCAGTTATATTTATTGTGGATATACACAATATAATGTGCATTTTATTTATCATTAATATGCATTTATTAAATTTTCTATAAATTGACCCATGAACTAAATTGTAATATATTAAACTTTATAAATTGCAATTAGGTTCTTGAGACTTATCAAAATTTTAAAAATCACCCAGCCTCAAACTAAATTCTCACCGACGATTTTTCGGACATCGACTATCCATGCGGGTTGTCGGCGGGTCTAGCCGTTGGTCTGTGAGAAGAGGAAGTCGGATGACGCTGATTCATAGTTGATAAGTCAACTTTTATTTCAAATTTGATAGGTACGGCCCAGTCGTAGATGACCCGATGGAATAGGTTTTCCAGGTGAAGTCGAGGAAGACGATGGAGTTGATTGATTAGGTTTTCTGGTCGCCGACGAAGGCGATGGAGGTCGTCCTCAATCATTAGGATTTTTGGATGCGATAGGTGGTGGAGGCAGAGGTGGAGGCGGAGGCAGAAATTTCCGAATCACATGGTCTTCTCCCAACAATTAAGTAGGCAGTCCTGTCTGAAAGCGGGAGCAAGACGGTGGCGACGGAGGGACAAGCGGGCGAACGGCTGACGGATTTGGGTCGAGGCGTGCAGTGTGTGTATGCAGTGCATGTGTGTTGGGTGGCGTGGGGTCCACTGGTGAGTGTAATTGTGGGTAATGTCCAATTTACCCTAACCACGATAAATGTTTGACTTTTTTTAGCTATTAGAATCGGGGGGAAAAGGGTGCGGTCCCACTAGGTGAAACGCACCATAAGAGGGTGGGCCTAGGTGCACCTTAGTGAGGTTCCATCCCAAAACCAATTGGTGGAATGAGAAGTAGCCCACTTGGCTTATAAGTTGGACCTATTTTCTCTATATAAACGAGGTGGGACAATTCACAAGTGATATTCTAACATTACCTGTTGAATATTCCGACCTCATGGCTACGATGTATTATTATTTCGTTCACTGAGCAACATTATCATCGAGCGCGACTCTATATATATGTAAATTGAATTTTTCACTCCGCCAAACCTCATCACCTTGATTTTGTGTAATCCTCAAAGTTTTTCGAATCTATACTTATATGCCTTTATTGAATTCCATAAAATGATTGCAAAAGTTGACTGACCTTCTTGAACAAGCATATGAAAGATTGAAAGATAATAATTTATCTGAGAAAGAGAGTTCAACTAGTTATTTGATTTTCTTCTGTACTTTGCCTTTGCCTTTGCCTTTGCCTCTAAGACTTTTGAATTTCCTATTTTTATGCACATGAGTAGGTGAATTCTTATTGCCTACTCAGGCAACAACACACTTTCACTCCAAGCACTCCCGTGTCAGGGATAAATATTGTTTACCAAAATAGACCTTTCAACAAGTATTTAATTAATTACAAGTTTATAGCATACATGAACTGATAAATTATATAATTATACACTATTAAGCAGTTAAACCGATCTCATTAACTTGATAAGCTATTTACATACATCTCCAACATTTTCAAATACTAGAAGAAACGAGATGCTCCACATTTCAGGATACATTTTACATCAAAATTAAGTAGTTAAACTTACAGTTTTAATAAATACTACTAATAGTCAAATGAGGGACGCAGTTCACGAAATTCAAATATTGAATTACAATCTTTGGCAATGGAGAATTTATATAATGTTGAATTGTAGTATTTATTTATTTTTATTTTTTTCAGATACACAAAACCATAATACATCAACTAACCAAAATTCACAAGTGGAGTAGTTAGCAGATTTTTGTCAAATGTCAACACACCTACTCAAGAAAACAGTATTTTCACCAGAAAGCATACATATACTCATATTCTCAAAATCCAAATACTTACATTAGTTAGCTTTACAAATCATATATAATATCCGGCACACTTTACCAGTTACCCCACCAATTAGTCCAAAATTAAATTCTCCCCTTATTTTCTCATCACTCATCAACTATAACCCCAGGGCATTTCAGTCATCCACCACCTTTGCTAAAAAGAAAAAAAAAATGTTTATCAAAACATGTCTCAAACCTTTAAAAGCCTCTAGCTAGCATCTTCCCACAAAAATCTCTTAAGATTCTGACAGCCTAAAAAAGATCAAACGCGAGAAAATTAATTAATTCAAACCCGAAAAAAAAAAAGTTGGTATTTTCGTATGACGACACCTAAACAGGAGCAAGAACTCGAGCCACTAAAGCAAGATCGGCCTAAAATATCTGAGATGATAAATCAAGGCAGTCTCGGGAGCCCTTTGATGGTCAATGTGGAGAGAGATGAGGAGATGACGAGATCAGCATTGGCCGCCTTTCGTGCCAAGGAAGAAGAAATCGAGAGGAGGAAAGTCGAGGTCAAGGAGAAAGTTCATGCGCAGTTGGGCCGTGTAGAGGAGGAGACTAAACGCCTTGCCGAAATTCGCGAAGTAAGTTGAAAAAATAAAAACTTAAAGAATGCTTTATGTATGTGTGTGTAAGGAATAATTTCAATTTTGGTCTGTTTACTTGTCTAAAGTCTATTTTTGGTACATTAATTTACTCCTTATCAAATATAGTAAGTTATGTTGTAGTTTGTATCATTTTTGGGACATTACTCATCAAAAAATAAAAAATAGTATGTTATGTTGCAATTTGTATCATTTTAAAGACATTAATCCCAAAAAATAATGAACCATTTTCGAGATAATGTTCCAATAGTGATACAAATTTCAACATAACATACTATTATTGATGAGGGGAAAGTTAGTGTACCAAAAAAAAAACTTTGGACAAGTAAACAGACCAAAATTGAATTTTTGCCAGTATGTGTGTAATGAGTTAAATAGGATGTTTTAAAATTTTAATAATAACCACGATTCTAGTAGGAGCTTGAGGCTCTGCATGACCCGATGAGGAAAGAAGTTGCGATGATTCGTAAGAGAGTTGATTTGATTAATCGAGACTTGAAGCTGTTGGGAGTCAATTGCCAGAAGAAGGTCAAGTAGTTCACTAACCAAAACTTTTTATTTTTTTTCACTTTTCCAAGTTATATTAGAAGTTTAAGTTAAGTTTCTACTAATTTTGAGTAAAGAAGCCACAAATTCAAAAGCTACTCTGATTTTCAGCCTGATTACAAAGAAAAGTAATGATCATGTAAAATTTTATATGGACAATGCTTGTAATGAGATTAAACCTTATTTTATGAATTTTTTTATTGTTACAGGAAAAAGAATATAGAGATGCCTTGGAGGCATTTAATGAGAAGAACAGAGAAAAGGGCGAGCTAATTGGCAAACTAGTTCAAGTAAGAACTGAAATTTCTTGTCAAATTAAGAAAGCAGCAATACAGTTTAGTAACTCACTTTATCTTTTCATTAATTTTTTTGTTAAATTAATCTGGCAGTTAGTGACTGAAAGTGAGAAAGTGAGACTGAAGAAACTGGAGGAGCTTAGCAAGAATATTGATTCTCCGGTCTGATGAATTTGACTTGTGTTTATTCGGTTTTCTGATTTTTATTTATTTTTTTTTTTTTTTGTTTTTTCTCATTTTGGTTTGAGCTGTTGTATTTGTTGTTGTTTGCTCATTTCCTCGTCTCAAGATTGATGAGACATAACTTTGAAAATTTATGATGTGTCTGATCTTGTGTGTGACATTCTAAGATCTTTAAGTTTAATTTGTCTTTCTTTAATATTGTCACTGGAAAAATGACATGGTTGTGCTAATATGCTAATATGATGAATATATGGGTTTTGTGTGATGCGTTGTGGATACATTCGTTGGACATTTGGATTTACCAACTCTTCAACTTGTAACTCTCATCACATGACCTTGCCATGAGTTATTTGATTACTATACTAACCGAACCATGAGTTTCTTGTCGTCTTAACCTTATGTAAAATCCATTACTCCATCTTCATAATAGAAGTGCAAGAATTAACCTGTTAAAGCTTGCAAGTCACATTATCCAAAAACGAGTTTCAAGATACTTGACCAGTTGGCCACTTAACAATTGTTCAAACTACACAACTTCAAAATTCAAATCCAAACTTTCCAACATTTTGTTTGTTCATATACAACACAACTCTAGCTACTTATGTCTTTTGACACTACATAAGGAGATGTATGTTTAGTAGTATTTTTGGGTAAGTGGTAACCGAATTACCCGACTCGGGTCGTTTTCAAGGGAAGGCTATTCGGACACGGATTCAAGCAACGATTGTCTCACACGAAAGAAAAATAAAAAGTCCTAAACATTCTACTCGCATTTTGGTGGTTGAATTAAGCTAAAGATCACAATTCTAAACTAGACTAGAGCAAGATTCAAATTCTAAAGCAAGCAAGTCCTCAAATTGCACGAAAAAAGGGAAATAGAGAGAAAAATAACAAGGTACCCTAAACTCGAGATGGAAAGAAGGCACTCATAGATTCGTGAACATGTAATCAAGCAATCGTCACTCGCGATCAACCAATCGGTCTCTCAATCAATTCTCGCTCACGCAATTAAGCTAACGCAATCAATAACAAAATTACATCAACCCTAGCCTACAAGGATGAATGCATATTCTACTCATGAAAGCTACTACCTTTACCTTAGGATGAATTCAATAAGTAAAGACAAGACAAGACTCACGAAATCTTAGACCTTCAACTAAGTCTCCAATCGCACCTTAAACGAAGTCTCCAAGTCTCTAGTGCATCCACGAGAAGAAATAAGCTGAAAAGTTGTAATCTTGATGGAGAAATATTACAATAAAAATAGAGTCTTAGAGCCCTTAGAGAGATAAAGAAAACTAGGGAGAAGGAGGAAAGAAAAACTAAAAGGAAAATTTTAGCAAATGAGGAATTGTTCTCAAATTACAAAGCAACAAGTGTATTTATAGCTACACCTCAAACACACACTAAAACACACACATTTAATGAGGAAAACTCGTAGGTTAGGTTGAACTCGCGAGTTGGACTTCAAATTCCGCGAGCAAGGCAGCATGATGCGGACTCGCGGGCAAAGAGCGACTGGCAGGCGCGGAACGCTGGACTCGTAGGCAGGGGTGCAAGAGACGCGGACTCGCGACTAGGCAGCTTTCGCGGGTGCTGATGCTGGGACTCGCGGGCGACGCTGAGCAGACAGACACTCGTGGGCGGCAGCAATTTCACGAGCATGGGAGCAGAAAACTCGCGAGTAGGCACTGGGCAGCACTCCTGGGAACTCGCGGGCTGCAGCACTTCGCAGGCGCGGAATGGGGGACTCGCGACAATCAGTGGTCCGCGAGTGCGGGAGTTTATTCACACGCGCGATCTCGAAGGGCAGCAACTGATGGTTAGCTCGCGAAATGGCGCTGCTCGCGAAGCCGATCTCGCGGGCGCGAGTCTGAAAAATGCTGGACTCTCGGAATTTGTCCCGATGACTATGGCTCGACTTCCAATGCTTCTAATTCATTGCACGGGGCTCCGATCGACTCGAAACTTCGACTCACGCTCCTCAAATCTTTTCCTCCTCGACATGGAATGCTCAAATCGATATCACCACGCAATTAGTAAATATGCTCGGAAATGGTTCGCGTGGCTCGGACATGGTTCGGACGGCTCGAAAATGTCTCGGAAATGGCTCCTCTTCTCAAACTCGAATATTATGGACCTAAACAACACAAAAAAGACAAGAAAAATACGCCGAACCACAAAAACACAATACGAAAGCAAAAATACACGGAACACGATAAAATGGACCCGTCGACACTAAAACGAACCTAAAAATAGTAAACTAATTAAAGTACATAAAACACAGGAAAATAAGCACAAAAACACAATAAACAATGTACAAGTTCCTTTACCCTTTTCTCTTATTCTTTTATCAGACAAGAATATGCAGAGATGAATTCTTACCATTATATAACTTTATATATGACAATATTACTAGCAACAAAAGATCAAACCATTGAACTCATTGCTAAATATATATATGACAATATTACTAGCAACAAAAGATCAAACCATTGAACTCATTGCTAAATATTGATGCAACAACAATTTTCCACGTATGCTTGGTATTATTAACAACTTCATATATATATCCATCACACAATTCAAGTTACCAGAACTGTATGTTGAAGGGAAGATGTGAATATCACAAAAAATGGTTTGAGAAAAATGAAGAAACCACATATGTATAAACACATACAGTCAAGACACCCAAAAATAAATTACACTCTTGTCCCTGACGTATAGAAACCCATGGTAATAGAAAACGGTGTTAAAATAGACAAAATTTCGGGGAACAATGCGTAGTTTAGAACTCACAAGAATGACTAAGCAATACAATCACTTGTGGGCTTCCGCGCGCACCTGACAAGTCTCAGTCAACTGTGCACTCTCAGTTGCATAGCCTGCTATACAATCACTCGTCTAGCCCGAGCGTTCGTTTAAGTCCAACTAATTTTGAACTATTTAAATTCAATATTTTCTATATTTTAGCTCATTTGTTTTCATTTAAAATAAATTTCTCATTCACAATAACATGGTTTTAAGAATTTTTCAAATGTAAGAAAAAATGGAACTTTAAAATTTATGTAAAAACAATTTTTCTCAACACTTTGAAATTTTAATTTTAAAAGCACCACTATTAACAACTAGCTAGCAACTTAGCGTCATAATTCGTCATCTAATCTTTTACTCAATTTTGCTAATAAAAAAAATGTGTTCAACGTTCCTGGTAAAAAATGTCACGTAATTCATAAATTCTTGTATAAAGCAACCTAACATTAGGGGTTGACTACTTCTATTGTTTGAACAAAAAATTATACTTATATAGTGAGAAATATTTATATTTGTTTATAATAAGAAATGTTCACTTCCATATTGATCAAGAAATCGAAAGTAGCTTAAGCAAATGAATAGAACAGGAATTGCATTCAATGCTATTGCCTCACTTAGGGTTACAGAAAAGTTCTATCTCAGCTGCTACATAAATGGCTGCTATATATAGCCGGCTCATCCAATAATCTCAGCCTTACATTCAAACCAAAACACACTAGATGAATGACACATGTCCTAGAGATAAGAATATCAAACAACTTTGTACTAGGTAGGCAGGCTGTTATTTTGTCCTTGCATGAGGGAGCCTGCAGCTCGTTTCTTGTGCATGTCATCTGCATTGTCATCAGAGCTCGTGTAGGAATCAGTCCTACGTGGCATGGACGTGGATATGTTGTTGACTATATCAACTGAGCTGGTTCTAACACCCCCTCTCAGCTCAAGCAAGGATCTTGGCAAAACAAATAGTTTGTTTATGAATTTAGCAAAGAGTTGACCTGTAATTGGTTTAATGAATAGATCTGCCACTTGATCCAAAGCTGGGACATGTCTAACAGAGATTTGCTTGGAGGCCACCTTCTCTCTCTAATGAAATGAAGATCAATCTCAAAGTGCTTGGTTCTTGAATGAAAAACTGGGTTCTCAGCAAGGCTTATTGCTCCTCGGCTGTCCATCCATATTGCAGCTGGTTGAGTTGTTTTGACCTTGAGCTCAGAGAGTAAGGATTGTAACCAGACAACATCACAAGTAGCATGAGCCAACGATCTATACTCGCTTCTGTACTTGATCTTGAAATATTGTGCTGTTTCTCTGAACTTCAAGATATCAAGTTTGAACCTAAGAACACACAAAAGCCACTTGTAGACTTTCTATCATCCAAATCAGAGGCCCAATCAGCATCTGCAAATGAAGAAATCTGAAGATTCTTTGGTGTGTAGAAATGCATTCCATAATCCATTGATCCTGCTAAAAACCTCAAAATTCTATTCACTGCTTTCCAATGATTATCCAGGGGTGTTTGCATAAATTGAGACACATTATTCACACTATAGGACAATTCTGGTCTTGTGATTGTGGCATACTACAATGCACCTACCACTAATCTATAAAGCTTGCGATTTTCCATAGGTTGTCCACTGAATTTGGAGAGTAGAGGTGTACTGATCATAAGAGATGATAGTCCCTTGGAATTTTGCATACCAACTCTGGTTAGAAGGTCATTGATATATTTCCTTTGATTAAGGAACAGTCCAGATTTTGTTTCAACAATCTCTATCCCTAAAAAGTAATGCAAGCCACCCAAATCCTTCAAAGAGAATTCCTTTCCAAGCTGTTTAATCAGTTTCTCAACTTCAAAAGAGCTACTGCCTGTTATCACCATATCATCAACATAAACCAAAATAAGAATGGTGTGGCCATTTGAATGTCTGTAGTACAGAGAGTTATCAGCATGACAGCTCTTGAAATTCAGAGAATGAAGACATGAACCAAGTTTATTGAACTAGGCTCTTGAAGCCTGTTTAAGTCCATAAATGGACTTGTTTAACTTGCACACCAAGTGCTCTTTTCCTGGCACAACAAAACCAAAAGGCTGTTCCATATAAAGGTCTGTGTCCAGATTACCATAAAGGAATGCATTATCTATATCAATTTGGTTCAAGCACCAATTTGAAGCAAGAGCTATTGAAAGTACAGTTCTGATGGTAGCTAACTTGGCCACAGGGCTAAAGGTTTCACCATAATCAAAACCTGGATATTGAGTGTACCCTTTTGCAACCATTCTTGCTTTGTATTTTGCTATGCTCCCATCTGCATTGTGCTTGATATTGTAAACCCATTTACTTCTTATGAGAGACTTGTCTGTAGGCAAGGTGGTCAGATGCCATGTCTGATTTCTTTGCAATGCATCAAATTCTCTTTGCATAGCCTCTTTCCAACTTGGATTTGATAGGGCTTCATGATCATTTGTTGGTTCTTTGTCATTTGAATTCTCTGATAGAAACACCTTTGGTTTGTGGATTCCTGCCTTAGCTCTTGTCACCATAGAATGTCCACCTGCATTTCTAGCTGTGGTCTCAAGAGGCACATTAGTCACAGTAACAGGTAAATTAACATTCTCTAATGGTAAATCAACATAGATGTGTCCATCAAGGTTTGGAGAGCTTTGTTGAGATGAGTGAGAACTGTTTGGTGTTTGAGGTGTTGAGTGTATAGAACTAGGGCTTTGAAGAGAAGTATCTTATATGTGAGAAGGATGACTGTTTTGAGGTTGGACAACATGTAAAGGAGTGGATTCAAGGTGAGTTTCCTTTGTGTTCAGGATTTCCTTTTTGTCTTTATAGGGAAATTGAGTTTCATCAAACACTACATGTCTGGTTAGGATAACCTTCTTGTTGTGGAGCAGCACTCTATATCCTTTATGTTTGCTGCTGTATCCAAGAAACACTGCAGGTTCACTCTTATACTCCAGCTTATGTTTGTTATAAGGCTTCATCAAAGGGTAACAAAGGCAGCCAAAAGGTTTAAGGAAAGGATAGTCTGGCTTTTTGTCATTTAAGACTTCATAAGGAGTTCTAAAGTTCAGGATCTTGCTAGGTGTTCGCAAAATATTTTCACTATCCCGCAAGTGTACGGTATAGCTATAGTGAGTGGCGAGCAAGGTCGTATTCCACAGAGATTGTTGTCAAAATAACTAAGTATTAAAATGTAAACGGTTAAATATTATTCAGTCTAATGCAAATTTAAATGGTGATTTTATTCTAAACTAATGAATGATTATAAAATAAATTCTAACACTAATGAAGGCTTGTTCTAAGATAAATCAAGAATGAGAAAATAGATCTAGGCTATGCTTTTCTCGGGATTATTCTAGCAAAGATTAATTATTCATCCAAACCTTATTTAATTCTACCATTCGTAGGGATAATCACTAAAGTAATTTACACCTTTCTCTCGAACAAGTTAAATCGTAGATATTAACTGTTATCTATCTCCTCTCGGTCTCAAGATGAACAATCAACTCCCATAAGCTCCTAAGATTCTAGTTCCTTCGCAAGATTCTATCAACCTCTCGGTCTGTTTAGTCTCTTACGTTATGAATTTCCCAATTCTAGCAATCAACTATCTCCTCTCAGTCTCAAGTCAATCACAAATATGCATAAATACGGGCCCTTATATTCACACAATTAATAAAAGCACAAGAAATTGATTAACGAATGATAAACCGGAATGAATAAATAAAATCACGTCATAAAATAATCCGAGTACTCACAAATCCTAGAATCTCTAAAAGGTTTAGCTACTAAACATATTCTCAAAACTCAAAATAAACATATTCATGAGTTCAATGAAGAAGAAAAAGAGAAAAGAAAGAAGAACTATTGTCGCCGTTAGTTCCCGAATCTTCAATCTTGACTTCCTCGAATCCCTCGTGTGTTTCGTGCTTTCTCTGGGCCTCCAGTTGTGTCAAAAGTCCCAAAAGCGAGTTCCTAAGGCCTCTTTTATACTGTAGGGTCATTCTGGGTCGAAAAAGGGAAGAAATCGCACAAGAATCCTTTTCCCGCTGAACTAGTCTGCGCGTCACACGAGTCGTGTGACTTTTCTCAACGTTTCGGCGAACTTCCAGACTCACACGACCACTCACACGACCAGGTCACACGAGTCGTGTGCGGCCACACGACCCGTGTCTCAACCCACACGACTCGTGTGAAAAAGCCGTATCTGCGCCTCTAATTTCCTCAACCCACACGACCCGTGTCACTACGCACACGAGTCGTGTGGCCTCTTCTGCACCCGTTTTCGCCGTTTTTCGTCCTGATTCCATTTTCAACGCATTTCCGGGCATATTTCCTGCAAAATCAACGACAAAAACACCTCTATCATAGATTAATAAATAAAATGAAATGGTGCACAATCAAACGATAACCAATGCCTAATATCACAAAATATCACTCATAATGGACGAAAATATAATGAATGTCACTAGATGTCCTATTTATTATAAAAACAGCACTGCAAACAGCATCATCCCAGTGATATGAAGGTAGGTTGGACTTAGCAAGAAGAGAAAGAGCAACTTGCAAAAGATGTCTATGTTTTCTTTCTGCGAAACCATTTTGCTCAGGAGTGTATGGACAGGAAATTTGATGTTTGATCCCATTTTCAGAGAAATACTTGGCTAGTTTCATGAACTCTCCTCCCCCATCACTTTGAAAGGTTTTGATTTTCCTAGAATATTGATTTTCAACAAACTGTTTGAAATGGACAAAGGCATCAAAGGTTTCTGACTTTTGCTTAAGAAGATAGACCCAAGTATTTCTACTTGCATAGTCTATAAAGGACACATAATAAGTAAAACCTTGGAAGGATTTAATGGGAGCAGGTCCCCAAAGATCTGAGTGAATAAAATCAATAGGACCACAATCTTTAAATTCAGATGCATTAAAAGGTAACTTGTGCATCTTTGATTTCATGCAAGCAGAACAAGGGCTTTCATTCTCATTATCATAAAAGGGAACATTACAGTCCTTCAAAGCCTTTCTTACAATGTCATAACTAGCATGTCCAAATCTAGTGTGCCAAACATCTAGACTAAGCTTATTTTTCAATTCTGCAGAAAGTAAACTAGGATTCTTGTTGATAGGTTGAGTGTCTTGGTTCTTGGGCTCAGTGGTGTTGGTATGAAGATAAAAGCTGTAAAGACCGTCTCTAGTTGCTCCCTTGAGCAGCACCTCCCTTGAAACCTGATCCTTGACAAGGCAAATGTAGGATGAAATTCAAAGAAGACATTATTGTCCTTTGCAAATTGGGATACACTGATCAAGTTTTTGCTGATATTTGGAACATGTAAAAGGCTTTTCAAAAGGAATTTCTGGTTTTCATTGGACAAAACTAGAGATTCACCATAGTGAGATATGTTCATACCTCTACCATTCCCAAGTATGACCCTCTCATCACCATTATACTCAGCAGCAAGGTTGAGGTTGGCTAAATCATGTGTCACATGATTTGTTGCACCTGAATCAGGGAACCACATTTCAGATTGTGCACCAATTGTGGAGTTCATGTCTGTGAGATTGACTGAAGTTCCTCCTGAGTATTGGTTTCCAGCAGATTGGTTTTGGTAGTTGGAGTTCTGATTTTGTCTTGGGGTGAAATTGAGATCACATCTGTAGTAGTATTTGTCAGCAATGTGATTGTTGTAGTGGCATATTTGGCACCTTGGTGTGCCATTGTTTCTGCCCCCTCTGCCTCTATAGGGACCTCCTCTACCAAACCTTCCTCCTTGGTTGTTGTTACCACCTCTGTTGAATTGAGATGGACCACCTCCTCTCTTAAATTCACCTCTTCTGTTTTGAGTGGTGTGGTTGACAGAAAATTGACCATTATCCTCACCATAGCTTGGCTCTGAGATCTCAAGACGGTTTTAAAAACTCAAGAGAAGTGAATGAACTTCCCTCAGTTTACATGGTTCAGATCTTGACAAGATGGAAACTATGGCTGAATTGTATTCATTTCCAAGACCAGCTAAAACATGTGAGATCTGATCCACTTCACTTACTGTTTGGCCTGCAGCTGAGATGAGGTCACAAAAGGATTTGATGTTGTTGAGGTAGTCCTTCATTGAGCTAGCTCCTTTCTTGGTGATTTGAAGCTTCAATTTGTATTGCATGACTTTGGCTGCATTTTGGCTTGAGAAAGCTGTTTCCAGTGATTCCCAGATCTCCTTTGATGTTGTTAAACCGATAGTTGATATGAGCAGAGACTCTGTGAGAGAGGACAGCAGCCAGGAAGCAAGAAGTTGGTCTTGTTTGACCCAAAGGAGATAAGCTGGGTTAGGTCTCGGGGTACTGCATCTGGATCTGTTATGCACTCATCTGGTGCCTTGTTGCTTCCATTTAGATAACCTTCAAGCCCATGACTTCTCACTGCTGCCAAAACTTGTTGCCTCCAAATAAGATAATTAGAATCAGATAGTTTAATGCTCATAAGTTGGCTTTGTGGTTGTATGGTGGATTCTGGGATTTGTGTTGCCATTTTTAGGTAAGGTACTTTTCAGAAATCAAGAGAAAGGAAAGAAAATCAAAAGCTGGTTTTGTTATCCAGCTCTGATACCATAATAAGAAATGTTCACTTCCATATTAATCAAGAAATCGAAAGTAGCTTAAGCAAATGAATAGAACAGGAATTGCATTCAATGCTATTGCCTCACTTAGGGTTACAGAAAAGTTCTATCTCAGCTGCTACATAAATGGCTGCTATATATAGCCGGCTCATCCAATAATCTCAGCCTTACATTCAAACCAAGACACACTAGATGAATGACACATGTCCTAGAGATAAGAATATCAAACAACTTTGTACTAGGTAGGCAGGCTGTTATTTTGTGCTTGCATGAGGGAGCCTGCAGCTCGTTTCTTGTGCATGTCATCTGCATTGTCATCAGAGCTCGTGTAGGGATCAGTCCTACGTGGCATGGACGTGGATATGTTGTTGACTATATCGACTGAGCCGGTTCTAACAGTTTACGTCGTCATTGTAATTCACTTATATATGAAAATATTTAAATTTATTAAAAATATACAATTATTAGGATAGCCTAACATCGACGAAAAATACCATTTTCGTTGTGGCAAATGAAATTAAATCACTTAATTCAAATGAAAATAAATGAATAAATTCAACTGCTGAATAAAATAGAAAAATTCACTTACATACAATACCAGCGTTTATATCAATAGAATAAAATGCTTGTTAATATACATAATCTGCTTTACATTAATGATGAGTCCTCCCACAAAGTGAAATAAACTTCATCACCAATATCCACACCAAAATGGCTCCAACTAAACCCTTCTTTCATAGCGGGCGGTGTTAGGAGCATTCCCTCGGCCATGCTATCCACCAAAAGGGGCTCGTTAAAAATCGCCTCCTCATCGAAAAACTCTATAAAAGTACAAGTCCTATTAGCAAAAATACAATGATCCTTTCTTTGTGAAAATCCCAACACAACACAAGATGGATCATCGGATGTCCTGAAATCCTTTTCGGGTTCGGTTACATTTGTAAAGTTTGGTGTCTTTGGGCCGGGCCTTTTCATTTGGGCCATCGGTTTCTTTGAGTAAGTACTGTTAGAAGACGATGAATGTGGAGAAAAACGAGTGGCTGATTCGAGATCCATGGATTGATAAGAGATTTTTTATTAGGAGTTTTGAAAGGGAAAAATAAATGAAAATAGTTACTTATGCTTGAGTTTTGATTTTGAATGCATGGGCAAAACAATGGAGCAAATGGCGATATATATGTGCATATGTAGTCGTCAAAGGGAGGTGGACGGGGTCAAAAGTGGAAATCGCTTGGCACGTACTAGGTATAAAACCCAATTGCTTTGACTTTGTAAAACAAAATATCAACTTGAATAATAATTCAATGTATGTATGTATGGAAACAAGATTACTTAAATCACGTGTTTAAATTATGTATGCTTAATATATGTACATAGAGATTAAGTTAATTGGCAAGTGAGGCAAGCACATCGATTCAAAACGTGCTGAGCCTAAGTGGCAGGTTCATATGCTTCGAGATCCTATATGGCAAAATTACATGTTTCGTTATTAGGCTTGAGTAGATTTTAATTTACTTCCAATTCAAAAATAATTAGCTTCGTATTATTTATAAATATTTTGGTTATTTATGGTCATGTTACATGTATTAATTGTATTTTAATATCATTTCTTATTATAAGTATGGAATTGTAAATGTATTTTGAAAGTTAATAACTTTTTGTATTTTCTATCAGTTTTACATATATAATATATCAAATTAATCGTCCCTTGAAGAGCTTCGATTTAACATCCATATTGTATGTATAAAAAAATATTTATCTCTATAACAATAATAAAATTATTTTTTAATATTAATTAGAAAAATAAATTTATTTATCATTTAATATATTTATATTTCAAATAGTTATATGATATAAGTGATAAAAATTATTATAATATAACACATGTAAGTCGCACAAATAACAAATGTCGTTCTAAAATATATAATAATATATATTTTTTTAAATAAGTAAATAAAATTTAAAATATTTTTTCTCATTAATTTTAAAATGTAACAATATTTTTTTAACAAACACCCGTGTAATACACGAGTGTTGTACTAGTATTAAAATTAAACATAGATGTGGTTTTACTTTGTTTTTTTTATTTTTTTAATATCATATTAAGCACATTTTAGAAATTTATTGGGTTAATGCAAGTACGTAAAGATTAATTTGTCAATTAGGGCGCAATAGTAATAAAATTTTAAAATAGATGTGTTTTATTGACAGAAATTGGGGAAAACGGCTGCGGGCTCACTATCATGAAGCGCACCATGAGAAAACGGGAAAAGCACATATGAAGCCCAAATGGGGTTCCGTCCCAAAACCAATTGGTGGAAGGAGGAGTAGTCCATTAGTCTTACAAGGTGGGTCTATTTTCCATGTATGAACGATGTGGGACAACTCACAAGTGATATTCTAACACGCCCCTCACTTGTGAGTCCTTCGAAAGCCCAAGCCCTACGGGTAAGTGGGAAAAACGGGTACGTCATCAGTCTTACAAGGTGGGTCTATTTTCCATGTATGAACGATGTTGGACAACTCACAAGTGATATTCTAACACGCCCCCTCACTTATGAGTCCTTCGAAAGCCCAAGCCCTACGGGTAAGTGGGAAAAACGGGTACGTCATCGCACGGTCCCACATAGAACCGACTCTGATACCATGCTTGTGAGTCCTTCGAAAGCCCAAGTCCAACTGGCTGGGAAATTGGGGAAAAACGAGTGCGGGCCCACTATCATGAAGCGCACTATGGGAAAACGGGAAAATCCAAATATGAAGCTCAAATGGGGTTTTATCCCAAAACCAATTGGTGGAAGGAGGAGTAGCTCATTAGTCATTAGTCTTATAAGGTGTGTCTATTTTTGGGATAAAAATGTGGGACAACTCACAAGTAATATTCTAACAATTTTTATTTTTTTTAGAACATATATTAAGGGCATGTTCATTATTGGCTTAATACATGTAAGTAAAGATTAATTATTTGCACGTGAGTCATTATTTTTAACATTACGTTTTGAACGTCCAGTTGTTTTCATCAGTTGGATATATATTTAATTATTTACAATTAGGCTTCAATAGAAATTGAAATCATGCACGGCTTGTTCATTAACTTTTGGTATTAGATATTGATTAGGTTTTTCGTTTTACACAATCTATGACAAATACTTTACCTAACAAATTGACATAGTTACATGGAACAATGTGAAAAAATACATGTTAACGAAAAAAAATGATATTTCACAAATTATGTAATAACATATAATTATAAATATTATTTTTAAGTAGAATATTTACGAATTTGGCAATTTAGTATAGATAACTTAGCAATTAACTAACAAAAAATTACTATAAATGAATCACTAGATGTACTATAAAGTAATGTTGTGATGGAGCAGAGCTAATAGATTTGGAAACTTATATACCTAAATGTTTTTATTGTATGTTTAAGTAAGATACTTAAATTATAAGATTTAGAAATACCAATATGTTATTTAAATTATTTTTCAGGGGCATATACGTTTTTTTCTTTTTTATTTATTTGTTCATAAACATCTGAGGTGGCGAGTACCCTTTGGCTTTGGAGCGCCCCTGTAGTTCTTCAACTGGTTACTAATATTGCTTTACAAAACTTCTTATTGGTCAAGTAAGCAAAATAAGTTATATCGACCTAATTAATATTAATGTGCAGCAAGTTCTATGAAATAGTAATAAAATTAAAATTCTGGAATTTTCAAAAAGAAAAAAAAAAAGGACGTAAACCTATTTAAGTTTGGGTAAAATGTATATAACCCCCTGTATTATACGAAATTTATACGTTTTCCTCTGAAATTTTAAAAATTGCGTCAAACCCCCTTGTATTTAACTAACTGTTGCACGATTCCCCCTCTCCGTCCAACTTGACGGCGCGTGCAGTACACATTGCTCTTATGCAATAATTATTCACTTTTTTCATATTTTTTTTATTTTAAAATTAAAATTTACTATTTTACCCCTTGCTTTTCTAGCCAATATTGGCAAAAAATGCTTTGCTGCTCCTAGGATTCAACGTATATATAGGCGATTGAGTCAATTTCATATTAGGTATTATCAATACAAAGGTTTTCCTTTATTTATTTATTTTTATTTATCCTTCATAAATTTTGAGATGATTGAATTGGAAATTCAGATGTTTCAAACTTTCTAGTATCCTACTAATAAGTTAAATATACCATTTTGGAGTTTTTGTTTGAGATGCACGAGCAGATTAGAATTCATGTTCTACTTATATATTCCATCAAAATTCAAATGCTTTATTTTTAATACTAGTGTATAGGAAAATAATACAGTACTGTGGGGAATGGTCCCTACAATTTAATTTGTCTATAGACTTTAGATGTTGGGATAATCTTTTAGTGAAGTTTTATATAGAGAATGATCCCGTTACCAAAACCTAGCATTTTCCATCCAACTTAACATAACAATAATTACAATATCATATACAATTGAATACATAACACGAGAGAGGGTGCAATAGCAAATTAATAACACGTGGAGGGTTAGGGTGGAGATGCCAAATTTCTGATAGGCCAGTCAAAAGGAGTCAAAGATGGCGCCACGTGGACCCGGAAAATTTGATCAACGGTCAATAACGATATTGTTCGTACACACCTGATCTAGTCAGCATTATCATCCATTTACAATTCATTTTCTTCGCATTACTATGTTCCTTGATCATAAATAAGTTTATTATTGGTCATACATTTTTCTTTCTTAACTAAACTTTTAGTTATTCCTATTTAACTATTTGGGCAATATGTACACTCATGGATAACACTGGCAGAGGCTGGAATCATGATTTGCTGCAAACTCTGTTCAATTCACAAGAGGTGGGGGAAATTAAAAAAATCAGAAACCTAGATCCATTATCAAAAGACAGAGTTTGCTGGAATTGGGATGCCAAAGTGGAATTTTCAGTAGCCTATGTGTATAAAAAGCTAGTTTGGGAAAAGTGGGGACAACTTGATAGAGCTGAGAGCAGTGTAGAGCAACAGCTGGGAAGAAAGGTTAGAAAGAAAAGCTGGTCATTGAAGATCAAGGGGAAAATTAAGCATTTCCTTTGGAGATGCTACTCCAACATCCTTCCTGTCAATGATAAACTGAAGATGAAAGGCTTGTCAGTGGATGTCATATGTAAAACTTGTGGAGAAGCTCCAGAAACCATGGAACATCTCTTCTTTCAGTGTGATTATGCTCAAAAAATTTGGAAACTGGCTCCTGTTACTTGGGATGGGCTATATGCTGATGCAAATGACTTTAGAGGCTGGTGGAACAAACTTTGCTCAATGAAGCCTAGCAGAAATACAGAATCAAGACTTGAACTTACTGCACACTTGCTATGGTGGATTTGGAAATCTAGAAATCAGTGGGTGTTCAAACAGAGTCTAAGGCCTGCCAAAGATGTGGTGGAAATTGCTCTCAAAGAATGGAGTTCATGGACAGAGGTTACACCAATTTTGGGATCAACTAGAAGTTTTGAGGCTCAGTGGTTGTGTCTCATATTGACTAAATCTGGTAAATGGACAGGTTTCATAAGCTTTGAGTTGGGTCAGGTGTTTTGCAGGCTCTGAACTTTGGGGATGAACTCACAATGCTTTCAGGATAAGTGATTTTTGTGCTCATGGTATATTGTTATGGCTGTAGGGTGTGATTTTCAGACCCTTTTAGGTCTTGTATTTTATGATGTGTAATATTAGGTTGGGTTGTTAGAGCAGTATCTGTAGCTTAGCCTCTGTTGCTCTAATTTATCGGTTGTAATTTAGGACACCGTATGGGTGATCCTCTCGGTTATGGCTAGTTAGCCATCAAACTTTGTACATTTGATCTAGTTATGCAATCTATCGCTTCGTTAATATATATATATAAAAAAAAAGACCTTTTTAAAAAATTATTTACAATTATAATATGGCTTATTAATAATTGCAAAACGACGGATTTTGTTTCCATTTTCTACACCCTGGTATAGACATGGCCACGGGTTGGCCCGACCCGTGGCCCGACCCGTGAACCGGCCAGAACCGGTCCCGGACAGACCCGGAACCGGCCCGCCCTAGCCGGTTTTTGAACCGGCCCGTAATCCCTTAAGGGCCGATTACGGGTCATGCGGTACACATTTTTGACCCGCCGGGCCGGGCCGGTTCCGGATTTTCCGACGGGCCACAGTAATCAAAGTTTTTTTTTTTATTTTTTTTATTTTTTTAACCGGCGGTTCACTAAACCGCCGGGCCGGGCCGGGCCGGCTCAGTGAACCGGCTCTTAGATATAAGCGGGCCGGTCACGGGCCTAGGTTTTGAGACCCGCCGACCCGGCGGGCCAGGCCGGGCCGGGTCATAAACCGTTGACTGGCCACCCCCACCCTGGTAGTTATTGTTGGATCAACGTTGGTGGTTATTTTTTTATTTTGTTTTTATTTTTTATTTTCTTAATTAATATTATTTTATTGAATCGTTGTGACGGTTCTCTCTTCTGTTGCTTTCAACGTCTCTCCCCAATTTTCCATCGGCACAGAAATCGATCAATCAGGAAAATCGATCAACGTTAACTTCAGATGTCGTCGGCAAATGAAGCATGGTGATTTCTGCTTCTTCTATATGTGTGTGTGTTTGTGTTTGTCTGTAATTATATTTGGTTTTTCTTTTAGTTAATTACCTTTTGTTTTCTCTTTCTGCAACAAATTTATGTCATGCCATCTGTTTTTTCCCCACATTGATTAACAGTGACGAATTTTTATGCGATACTTTAATTGTTGAGAACGGGAGATGAATTAAACTCTTCTGCCTCTCGCAATCTGAAATCTCCCCCAATTGCTTCAGTAGACCTCTCTGTTCTGTAGGCCAACCTCGTTTTTTATCTTGCTCTGAAGAGATCAATTAATAAAGAATAATTTTGTTTGTTCAGGTTTATTAAACTTGTGATTTAAGAAGATATATTTGGGCTTGTAGATTTTTTGAGGATTTGGTGTGTGAAATGAGTTCAACTGGGTACTTATGAGTTGATTGACCATGATTAAATTAGGCATGCTGGTCTTCGCCACCATCTGCAAATCTTTGTGCAAATTCTCATGTGGATCGTGTATGTTTGGTGCACCAAAGGCAAATTCTCTCTTGACCTATTGAAAGTTGTTTTTATGTTGTTTGACAGATGTTGTAGTGTTGCTTTGCTGTTGTTTTGTATTATTAATTCTTTAAGCTGCAATAACAAACATTTTGTATTGCTTTTTTATATAATTTAATTGTTATTGATCAATCTTTTTTTTCTAGTTTTTTTTCTTCATTTATGTTTGACGAAGAAGAAGAATAAGAGAAAGAAGAGAGGAAAAACGTAGAAAAGAAAAGGAAGAAAGAGAAAGAAAAGAAGACATTTAATTTTTGGAATCATTATTAGTATCTTTTTATTTTGTTGGTTTTGCACCAACGAAAGAGAAAGAGAAAGAAAATTGGATTTTGGAATTCTATGTACTCCCTAACTTTAATGGATTCTTTTTTATTACTTGGATAGTTATGTACTTTAGCCATTTCATTTGGTGACTTGTTTTGCTCTAATCTAGTTTTCAATTTGAAAATTTAATTTTTGCACGACTTATTTCTCCTACTCCGCGCATCGAATCAATGTGCCGTAGTTCAAAGTAAAAGTTAATTTGTGCCCTTGTATTTCGTCAATATCATTTTTTCTGAATACAATACTTTGCTTGCAAATAAACTGCAAGTTATATGTTATATTTCGAAACATGTTACTCTTGAATTTCTATTCCAATCAGATACTTTTGTAGTACATTTCGAGTTGAAAACATATTTATGCTTGTATTAATCTGAGAGCTTCCACTACAAATGATATCTCATATCTTAAATGTAATCACCTAGTTAGAACATGTGTTTCACTANATTTTTGTTTTCTAGTTTGTCTGCAGACTGAATGTCTAACGGATTGAATGTACCTCCAAAACCGATGAATAGAGAAAAATTAATCGTTGAAACTTCTCTTCTCATTTTTATCGCATTTCTCTGTGATAATTGAAACCCCAGTTAAAATGAGTGGCATTATAGAAACTTCTAAGAGTGATAGAAGGAGATTTGTTTTTCAAAAGTATTATTGGTAATTTGGTCTGGGTTAAGATTCTCGAATCTGTTAGTCCGTTTTATGCCATGTGAGTGATGTATTCCTTGTTTCATTCATTTTAGTTTAGGGAGTCTCCTATGGCTAAACGAAGAGGCAGGCCTCCTAAAAAACCCTTGAGTGACGAAGATAATGCCAATCAAGATGGAGTCGAACTACAGAAGGATGAAGATGCATTTCAAGATCATCAAGGTGTTAATTTCTAGATTAATATCTTTTTCATTCACGAGTATGTCTACATCAATCTTGTTATCAGCAAAATATATAAAGAGAAATAGTCTGTTAGACCTGATCTTAAGGTCTCGAAAATCTGGACATGCTATGTTTTTAGCTAAGCTGAGTGCAGGACGATGTTTGAAGTTGTATTAGCTATCGTTATGCCAATAATTAGAAGACTGCTTTTGGAATTTGTTCAGTGAAGCCAGTTGTGTTTGTTGTCCAATTGATGTGTGAAACTTGTTATGGAATTCTTGCATCCCTTGCAAGCCAACTATTGAAATTAGAAATGTGCTATTTTCATTTTCCCTAAAGTAAGAAATGTGCTAAATGCATGTGATTTTTTTCATGATGATGTATATACGCTCACATGTGCTGGGCACATTAAATTTTTATTTAAGTGGGCTATACCTCTTGTGAGAGTGTGTACACTATTATGTACAAAAATGAGATGCGCCAAGCATTTTCCTTACATGATTTTCCCAAGTTCTATGTCAGTGTTTGTTTGTATGTAGTTCTAAAAAATAAAACATCTGATGCAGTTTATTCACTTTGTTACAGGTAAAACAGGCATTTGCGGTACTGATAAACTGCAAATCAGGAGTCTTTATAAGTTTTTTCAACTTCTGTTGGCGAAGTTCGCTAATCTTTGTTTCTAACATGCCCCTGCTTTTATATCAATTTCTCATTCAAATTTCAGGGGAATACTGGAAATAATTCAAGGTTTTTTATTTCTTAAGCTTGGCTGCATTTATTTTGTTTTCCTGTTTCAGGTAGGCATTATTTTATTTTTTAATTATTATTGTTATAGTTGTCATTGTTATCTACATCACAACTATTGATAAACTAAAAATTGACAAAAAAATCCTAACTATTAAATGCGGACACTATTTTATTCATTTAGAAGATGCTAGTAAGCATTATTAGAGTTTTGAACCATTACATCTAATTACTTCCCTGGACGTCTAGTCTTTACTTGTCAGACATTGGTATATATGTTTGTATTTGATTTTGCTTGGCATCTTGACCTTGTTTCTTGTTTTATAATCACAGTTGAATAATAAAAGGTTTTGTGTTGGGGTTACACCCAAAACTGTTGGACTTCCAAAGTGTGGTGAGGTAATTCTTTCTGTGCATGGTTCGCCTCTTGGAGTTTATAAGGAATACAACATGGAAACTATACAAGGTATTCTTCAATATATCTGTGATTTCTGCAACAATGTCATAGGATGCTTATTGCTTAATATGTATATGCAGAAAGTTAATCACAGACGTGTGGTTGAGAAAACATTTAGAGTCGGGCTTCTTTGCTTCAAATCTTAATGATAGCTTCTAAATTAGTTTGTTGTTTAATATCAACATTAGTTTGGCATTCGATGATTAAGAAAAAGAAAACCTTGACATTTGTTCACTTTTAAGTACGCCACCACATGTTATCTGTAATTATTTTGTTTCAGAGAATGTTTCTGTATTGTTTATCTTTTTAAAAAATGCAAGACATTACATTTATTTTTCTGTCTCATTTTGTTTCATCTTTTCCTTTTTTATTAATCTATTCTAACATTGTACAGAAGCAGAAGATGGTTGAGTTGGTTGAGACAACAGACTCATGGTTGTCGAGGAAGATGTTGCCTTTTACTTTATTTATAGTTACCTGTTGTTTGGTGTCTGATGAGTGAACTCATGCAGATACATTCTATGTAGATGTATGTAAATGTAATCAGCCCTACTTTTCTATTAGGTTCCTCCAATGAACCCTACCATATTACAAGTCAAATTATGCAAAATACATTTCAAATCAATAATGCTATTAGGAAAGTTGATCAGCATTATTCACTTCTAACCAATAATGCTTTTAGGAAAGTTGATAACAGTTACAATGATTACTTGGCTGTGTCATGGACTAAAGCGCATTATTAGAAAAGTTGATAGCATTGTTAAAATTATGACTTGATCGTGTCATTGGCTAAAGCGTCATTTTGAATGGGACTAGTTGAGAAAATCATTATTATGCTCTCCTCTCATCCTGATGTGCCATTATTCAGCCATCTTGTGGCGCAACACTGTTCACGACTCTCATCTGGAGCGAAGTTCTGGCGCAGCCTTGGGCAAGATTTTCTCGCTACTCCAGCGCATTTTGGCAATTCTGGCGCATCATTGGAGATGGCCTAAGTAGGGTAAAAAAAAAATGGATATATGAGATATCCACTCAAGCTATTGGAGTTTAATAAACTGTACAAAAAGAAATATAATCTTGTAAATTCTTCTTTTTGTACATTTTATTAAACTCCAATAGCTTGAGTGGATATCTCATATATCCATTTTTTTTACCCTACTTAGACCATATCCAATGATGCACCAAAATTGGCAAAATGCGCTGGAATAGCGAGAAAATCTTGCCCAAGGCTGCACCAGAACTCCGCTCTAGATGAGAGTCGTGAACAGTGTTGCGCCACATGTAGCGCAACACTGTAGTAAAACATATGGTGCAACACTGTAGTAAAACACTACAATTTATTTATTTATTTTAATATAATATTATTGGCAAATTTTTGTATAATGTGTATTAGTAAATGTATTCTTTATGCTAAATAAATTTGTGCAATGTATTTTTTATGCTAAATAGTTTTGTGTTTTTTTATTGATGTATTCTAATTTTATTTTGCAATTTTTTAATATTAAAATGGTACTATATGAATAAAAATTTAACACAATCAAACAAGTATATTTCATTAAAATCAAAAGTTTACAATACACGTAAATCACGAAATACACAAATAAAACAACATAATATTAAAATAAAAAGTTTACAACACACTTAAATCACAAAATACACAAATAAAAACAATGTGTTAAAGATGACTTAAAAATCTATAGAACACGTGAATAATATATTTTTTTATTCTAGTAGTCTCCCAAACTACTTTTAGGCCCGCCAAGTCTTGAAAAACTCACTAAAAGAACCAAAAGTGTTATGGGCTTGTGATGTCTGCGATGACTGTCCTTTTCTATTTTTCAAAAGTCGTTCTTGCTCAATTTTAAAATATTCACGACGACGATTATCTTGTTTTGAATTCAAATCCATTATTAAAATTTTATTTTCCTCCGTCCATATGGTGGTCTCAACAAATTGTTTTCGTAATTCATTTTTTTGCTTTTGGATTTCAATTTTTGTCTCATCATCTCAGTGTCTTGATCCCTCTTCATTGTTGAGCTTATTATCATATCTCTAAATTTTTCATTTTCCTCTTTCATTGTTTTTATAAATGCAGATACGTCTTCTCTCTGTTTTCTCTTAAATTTTGATTTGTTAATACCTATAGTCGTTGTGATGACGAACCACCACTAGCATCTTCATCGCTTAAATTAATAAAAAAAATAGATAGTTCTGGATTAGGTGAAATGGGAGACTCGGACTGTGCATCTGATTATGGTTGAGATGAAAACATGTTTCGCTTGGTTTATGGCACTCGAACAATGCAAAATCTTTCATAATAACCCACACATGATCGTACTTGAATGGTCCATTACATTTATCTTTTGGGTTTTGCGTATAAAGTATATCCGCACGCTCTATCTGCAATGTGAAAATAAATATCATTAGAAAATATTAATATTTTTATAAATAAAATTAAATAATATGAGTGAAATTTCTTACCACATCAAGTTCAGAAGCTCCACTGATGTTTGCATTGTCAATTTACTCCACACAAGATTTGAAAAGTTTAATAGATTGATATTCCCATGCAACATTAGATCTATGAGAAATTGCCATATATGACTGATAGAGGCGTTGATCTTCACTCACAGTATAGTTTGATCCGATAGCAAAAATTATTACAAGAAGATGGATTTAAAACGTAAATTGAAAAAAATGCTAAAATTATATTTTGATGGTACACTATTTTCCATTACCGTGTAGCTTATATATAGTATATTTGATTTTCATTGATAAGAATCGTACGGTTGATATTTTTTTATAGGAAATCAAGATTCTACGGTTCATATTGAAAGTTCTGGATTTCCTTATCTATAATTTCAACCGTGCGATCAAAAATCAAGATTCTACGGTTCAGATTGAAAGTTGTGGATTTTCTTATCTACAATTTCAACCGTGCGATCAAAAATCAAGATTCTACGGCTCAGATTGAAAGTTGTCGATTACCTTATCTACAATATAACCCTTACGATCAAAAATTAAGATTTTACGGCTCAGATTGAATGTTGTGGATTTCCTTATCTATAATATCAACCATACGATAAAAAATCAAAATTTTGCAGCTCATATTGAAAGTTATGGATTTTCTTATCTACAATGTTAAATGTACGATCGAAAATCAAGATTTTACAGCTCAAATTAAAAGTTATGAATTTCCTTATCTAGAATATCAATTGTATGATTTTTATCTATGAAAATCAGGATTTTACGGCTCAGATTAAAAGTTATATATTTCTTTTCAACTATTTATACAGAGTTTTTTCACACTATATATTCATTCGTTAACTCTTGCTTTTTCCAAAATAAAAATTTGAATGTCAATCACATTGGTACTTCTTACGCATTTTCTTCTTCAAGTTCATCTGATGACGAACTTGAACAACTACTAAATAGTTATGATACAGAGCAACATCTTATAGCACAACAATTTTACAACAATAATATTCTTGTACAATAATTTTTCATAACCCAACAAGGTGGTCGTAGCCATGGGGTTCAATTCTTGGTCGAAAAACAATATTTCGCGATCGATAAGCAGCTGCAAATCGCCTTTTTAACGATTATTTAATTGGTAGACTCGATTATCTACCTATCAGAAGTTAACTACTGCGCTTCGGATAATATGATATACCAGCAGATGCGACAGATGAATACTTAAATATTGGGTAGTCCACCAAAATTGAATGCGTGAAGAAATTTTGTATCAGACCGAGACGCGTGGTTCATTTTTAGATTTTGGTCAATTCTGTAGAGTGTTATGGGCTGAAGTTTAGCTAAACTTATAACCCTCAGACTGATGGTCAATTGGAGCAGACGATCAAAGTGAGTTTAAAGAATCATGCCTTGTACTTCTTCTCCAAAGCCCAAAGCTCTTTGGCCGAACCAACCGAGTTGTACGCATTGTAAAACTCGTTACTAAGTCCATTCAGGACATAGTTACAACAAAGTAGTCACCTTGTCCACAAGCAACGTACGCAGTTCGTAGTTCAACATTGATCTCATTTTCAGCAATAAACGGGGTATCGTCCTTCAGGTATTTCACCAAACCAAAGTGGTTTGATAAAAATGCATCTTCTGTTGTCATCTTTTAAAGTCAAACCCGTTGAATTTCTTGGACTTTTCAGCTGTAAGGACATGGTCAACAAGGGTACAGGATGATGATGAATAGTGTGTGCTTAATTAGTTGCTGACTGTTGGAACTATCTTTGGTGGATGCTATCAGTTCAGTAGGTTGAGATATTTGTCTTGCGATTGTTACAAACTGAGTGTCGAAATACACGAGAATCCTAAGAACTGAAGTGTATTTGTCAGTTCTTACTACTGAACTACAAAATTAGGAAAAAATACAATAGAACTGAAATTAAATAACAACTTGAAAAAGGGAAATTATAGCTGAGGCGAGTAAACTCTTTCCGCAAGATGAATATGCCCCGTGTAGTGCTGGCGGTTCAGCCGTTTCATCTCCAAAGATGTAACGGTGATCGTCTCGAAATCTATAGCACACTAGACTTACGAGCTCTGACGAACTGGAACGGAGTTCAGAACTAAGCACTTATTATAATTGGAATGAAAATTATCTCTATTTTGCTATTTTGTTAACAAATAAATTTGTTTCAATAGAGCTAACATGTCATTATTTTTCAGCTGTTTTCTGTTTCTCTAATTTTCTCCTGTCTTCTTTTTTTCTCTCTATATTTCCTCTATGCTTTTCGAACTATCTCACGTACTTCTTTTCTCTCCTCTTTTCTAACTAGACAAGCACAAACACACACACACACACATATATATATATATACACACACATATATGTATGCATCTGCTTGATAAAAATTTACTATTACAAAGTCAAAGTAACACTCATATGTCAGGGTTGCTTTTAAAAAACAACATGCCAACAATACCATTTCTTCACGCAACAATTCAAGTGGGGGCCCATTGACCTTTTACACTCAATAACTATTCTGGCAAACCCATCGGCTCTGGTTGTAACCGGTGGGTCGAAATTGGAACCCGGACCGACTTGCAATTTGAATAAGAACCTTCATATCCTTGTGCCGGTTCCGGTTCACAATTTTATGAACAAGTAATTGGATCGGCCCATTAGCCACCTTTACATATCTTTACCAAAATTCAATAATAATGCTGCATTTGAACATTATCACACATAATGCATGATGGCAACATGACAATGGTAGTGAATAATTGAATGGGTTTTGTGTAGGTTTTTCTCCGTCACGTTGTTTTTGTCTTTATTTCTTTTTACTTCAATGACTGTCACTTGTCATCGTTTTTTAAAAAAGAAACGTTTGATATAAAGGAGCC